TAATGTAAAAGGTGTCACAACCACGTCTGACTGTACCCTATCTGATTCAACATTCGACCTGAAAATATTTGATTCAAATTTCGACTTGCATGAATACAATAATTTAGCATGATTTAAAAATAAGACCCGACCTGATCCAAACACCCGAATTGACACCTTTAGTTGCATAGTGAGGCTCGTTGGCCTAACAGGACAACCGCATGAGCATCCATGAACTTTGATTCATGAATTTCAATTCTATTTAACACGACAATATTTCCATTTGGAACATCTCAGTCCAACTCCAATTGAAAGAAGCTAAGCATGAGAATTTTAAATAATGAAGACAGTTGTTCACATTTTATGTTAATAAGAATAACATGTTAATTAGTTTAAGTTAATTAACAAAGAAGGTGGAATTAGCATTTTTTAAATTGGTTGACTTTTTTTAGGAAAAAAAGTTTTATTGGTTGACTTTCATTTTAACTTATTTGAACTTTATCTTCTTAAAATAGTAAAGCATTGGGAGGAAAAAACATCCTTAAATTATACTTCATTCGTTTTTTTTCATTTTTTTTTTGGCATCACTTGTGCTTGCGCGCAGTTTTAACGGAATGAATTTAGTAAAAGTAATGTAGGGACTATGAAAGTGAAAATATGTGAAAGAGAGTAGTGGGGACCATGAGAGAGAAAAATGGTAAATTATTTGAGTGGGGTTTAAAGTAAGAAAGAGAAACATTGTTAAATCATACTCCGTCTTCCTCATGTTTCCATCACATTTGATAAAAAAAACATTGTGTAGAGATGCCATCACATATATACACATACATTAAGGGTCTGTTCTCATTGACTAAACAGAACTGAACTGAACTGAGCTGAACTGAACTGAAATGAATATTTTATAAGAGAAGGAAATTAGGAGATGAACTGAACTGAACTGAACTGAGCTGAGCTGAACTGAACTGAACTGAAATGAATTTCAACGTAAGAGCACAGGCCCTAAGATAATGATTTCCAAAGACAAGAGTAAGACCCATTCACTTCACCTTATTTTTGCTAAACTCAAATTATTTTTACTGAACTTAAATTATTTTTGCTGAACTGAAATTATTTTACTGATTCTCTATTATATTTTTTTCTTTATAGTTGTTGATTTTTACTAAACTGAAATTATTTTGCCGAACTGAATTTATTTTTACCGATTATTATTATTTTACGGTGAAGTGAACAGAGTCTAGCATTACGATGTGCAAGGTAAGCTACTACATGTCACCTCCAAAATTTTAGGTCTCTCATATTAATCAAATACAGAGTAGTTGAATTAATAGTGATGAGTATAAGTGAAAATTAGAAAAATTAAACACATAAGAGTCTGTTACATTCTTCTTATTTTCACTTATTTTAGGCCTAATAAGTTCATATAAGCTTAGTTCAGGAAAAATAAATTTAGATAAACTCAAATCATGGAAAAAAAATCAGAGGGTTACTCAAAATAAATTTTAATAAGTCTAGATAAATTTAGTTAAATTAACATACACTAGTAGAAAATAAGTGATGGGAAGCCCCAAATGGCAAGCAGTTTTTAAAATCCCCTTGCCATTAACCTTTTTTTTTAAAAAAAAATCCTGTAATTTTAAATGGCAAGCGGTTTTGGCGAGAATCGCTTGCCAATATATATAATGACAAGCGGTTTGGGGTTGAACCGCTTGCCATTAGATATATTGGAAAGCGGTTCAACCCCAAACCGCTTGCCATTAAAAAAACCCTAAATGCGCGCAACCTTCCCCTTCTTTTATTTTTCTCTCTCCTCTTTCTTTACTCAGCTCTCTCTCTCCTCTTTCATTTTCGCCGAGTTCCATCTCTCTCCTTTTTACTCCCGTTTTCCCTCTCTCTCCTCTTCTCTTCTCTAATTCGCCCCTTTCTTCTTTTTCACTTTCTCTTTTTCTTTGTTCTTTCTCATCTCCTTAAATTCGAACCAAAACTGGGTAATTTCGAGCAATATCGAACAAAACCCCAAGTAAAATTTCGAGCAAATTTCGAACAAGATCGAGCAAATTTCGAACAATTTCGAGCAAATTTGTGCATGTGTGGGTGTTCAAGTTTTTTAGGTCAAATTCGACCATGAAAACCCTAGATCTAGAGTTTTTATGGTCGAATTTGACCTTTTAAACCATAATTTCAAGCCCAAATCGGCTTTTTCTGGTCGTTGTGGTTAGATGGTATGTTTTTTAAGGTGGGTCGAATTTTTTTTGTCCAAATCAGCGTTTTCTGGTCGTTGTTTGGGTGGGGGTCTGGCCGTGGTGGGTGGGGGTCGTGGTTTCGGTGAGGGTTTTGGTGGGTGGGTGTCAAGTGGAGGTTCTGGTGGGTGAGAGGTCTTGTCGTGGTGGGTGGGGGTTGTGGGTTTCGGTGAGGGTTTGGTGGGTCAGTTGGGGGTTGTAGTTTCGGTGAGGGTGGGTGGGGGTTGTAGTTTCAGTTTGGTAAGGTCAGTTGGGGTCGTGGTTTGGGTGGGGGTCGTGGTGGGTGAGTGGCTAGGGGGTCTTGGTGCTGGTGGTGTGGGGTGGTGGCTGGTGGTTAGTGGTTGTTGTTTGGTGGTGGCTGTTGTTGTGGATGGTGGCTGGTGGTGTTTGGTGGTTGGAAATCACAAATTGTAATTTTTTTTTTTGACAAAAGAGCTATCAGAAATTGTAATTATTTCAATTTTTTTGTTATTTTTTTTTTATAATTGAAAATCAGAAATTGTAATATTATAACAATTAATTAATAAAAATATTAATGTTTTTACATTTGGTTTGATTATGTATCAATTTAATTGAAAAAAACCATTTTTTTTTTAATTTTTAATACCCCTAATGGGCAGCAGTTTGGCGCCAAAACCGTTGCCCTTTCACTACAATTGGCAAGCGGTTCTGAACCGCTTGCCATTTTAAAGACCAATTGGCAAGCCCCCTAAGGGCATGCGGTTCAAAACAGCTTCCCATTAGGGGGTTTGAACCGCTTGCCATTATGTATTTTCTACTAGTGATAAGTTCACATAAGTAAAAATCGGGTGAATAAAACACACCCTAAATTATGAAGTAAATAATCAAAGAGGAAAGAAAGAGGAAAAATTTAATGTAATAACTAATAAAGCCCCGTATTGCTGAACTGAAATTATTTTTACTGAACTGAAATTAATTTTACTAAGTTGACTTAAATTATTTTTATTGATTTTTTATTGTTTTTCATAGTTAAAGTTACTTGATTTTTACTGAACTTAAATTATTTTTACTTACTGAAATTATTTTTACTGAATTGAAATTATATTTACTACCGAATACTACTTACAAAAAAACGAAGTATATTACTAAATACACAAATTTTTGTATGTGACTGGTCACATGGTGTGGCCAGCCACCGTTATTTATTAATTATTATTATTTTTTTAAAATACCACATGTATTCTCTCTGCTCTTTTCTTAGCTTCTTCTCCAAATCAAACCACACATCACCTACAACCATATCTCTATCACTCCACCCATTTTTCTCTCCTTTTTTCTTAGCTTATTCTCCAAGCCTGACCACACATCACCAATAACCATATCTCTACTCCACCCATTTTCTCTCTCCTCTCTGCCAAATTGCTGCGATTATTAAAGCCTAAAATTGTTAAAATTGGGTGTCAAATTGTTGTGAAAAATTGCGATTAATTAACCTTAAGATCATCAACAACATTTGAAGTAGTGAAATCGATGAGAACCGGAGATATGTGAGCTCGTTTTCTTCGTGGAATCTTAGATCGAACATTTTTCGCCAAAAAATCAGCAACACAAACAACAATAATAATGTGAGTAGATTGTAGAATATTTGTAGGGTGCGACTAGTTTGGTCAGGGGTTACTTGTAGGGTGTTATTGGTTTGGTCAGGGGTTACTTGTAGGCTCTTATTGGTTTTGGTCAGGGGTTACTTGTAGGCTCTTACTAGTTTGGTACAGGGCTTACAAACAATTATTGAATAAGTAACTCATACAAGTAACCCCTGAAGTAACTCATATAAGTAACCCCTGAATAAGTAATTCATACAAGTAACTCTTGAATAAGTAATTCATACAAGTAACCCTTGAATTAACTCATACAAGTAATCCCTAAATAAGTAATCCATAGAAGTAACCCCCTTAAAAAAAAATACAAGTAACCCCTGAAAAATACAAGTAACCCTAACAAAACCAGTAACCCAGTTATGCACGTGAATAGTAACCCCGTTACGCGCGCATTTGTGTTCGTTATTTTTGCTGATTTGGCAGCAGCCGTGTGGCCTGCTGCACCAAAAAGGCTCTGTACTAAATATTCCATCCGTTTTATAATGTCAGTCCCATATAATATTTTGGGCTTTTTAAAAAGATCTACCCATGTTGAATATATTTCATTTATAATTTAATTTTTTTGGAATTAATTGATTATGGATTGATGACATGACTATAAGTAAGAAATTTTTTACCTTAAATTATGCAATTATAACTTGTGCTTTCCTAATAAAAAATAAAAAAAAAAGTTAAATAAGGTAAACTAATTATGAATTCTATTGTTCTTTAATGTTAGATTCCAAAAATATTTATTTTCTTATTTTATATGATTGATTTCATATGGGATTAACATTATAAAATGGAGGAAGTATTATTTTTGTAAAGTGAAGTGAATGGGACCGCAGCTAACGTCGTTGAAACACTGAAAACGGGTACACATATGACATTGCCACCTATTATTCGTCCGACAATCATTATTAATTTTATTTCTACAAAAAAAGTAAATAAATATATATTATCCATGATATTATCTCCCCCCTCAATTTAAAAATAATTTATTTGGACGTAATTGACATCGATAATGGCTTGTTGCTAGCAGACATTTTCACATCCATATTTATTCTTCTATAAATATAAATAATAATAATCCCTTTTATTTTCATTTTTATTTTTACACTATATCATTACTATACAGTACATAATAATTGTACCACTTTTTATTTTTTATTTTCATATCATATGCTTAGTTTTTTTTTTTTTTTTTTCATTTTTTTTGTTCTTTGATTTTGTAGCAGATTCTTCTTCAAACTCTCTCTCTAAATAATAATACTTCCAATTCTTCTTACCTTCCTTACTTTAGCTTGATTTGTGTAGTTTTCTCTAAGTGTCAAAATCTGCAACAACCCACCACATGTTTGATTTATTGCTCCCAATTTTAGTACCTTCTTTAGGATAAGCTTAAGATTTCCTTGTCAGATTCCTACTATTTTTTTTTTTTTTTTTTCATCTAAAATTTTCTAGATTCTGCTCCAATTTGATCAAAACCCTGTCAAATTTATCTGGGGTTAGCTTGAATTTGTTCAAAATTGTGAAAATTTCTGGGGTTTTTCCTCATATCTTGATTTGGGTTGTGGTTGGTTGCTATTAGGATAAGCCCAAATTCTGTTTGTTTGGTAAAGGAAATTTGGAATCTTTTGTTTCTGGGATTCCTTATTTTTAATTTTATTTTTGGGTTTAAATTTGATGAAGGATAAGTTAGCATCTTCTTGTATTTTCTGCTATTTTACCAGTTATTTCTGGAAAAAAAAAGGTGGGTGGCTAGCTTAATTTTCTTCTTCGTATCCTTTATTTATTTTTTCATTTTATTCTTGTCCCTCTTTTTCTGGGCATTTATTCTCTTCAAAATTTGAATTGTTTTTTTTTTTTAAAAAAAATTTAATCATCTTTCTCTCTCCTACTTTGGGAGCTGAGATTACTAGTAGTTTACTATACAGTGGATGAGTTTGTTACATGTTCTTGGTTTTGGGTTAAAAGCAGGACATGTACTGTTACTGCTATGTTGTTGGATTATCTCTGTGATCCCCATGAATTGGCTGATTAATGGTGGTGTAATGGACGGCAAGCCTTGTTTGCTTGGCGGCGGCGGCAGTGGTGGTGTTGGTGATGGTAAAGTGGTGGGTGATTGGTGGTCGAATATGGCGTCGAATAGCCGTATGATCCACCATTACTATTACCAATATATAGGGTCAATGAAGTTGAGGAAATCATGGTGGAAGAAGCTTTTGGTTGCTTGGGTAGTATTTTGGATCATATTTTGTTTTGGGGTTTTTTGGTTCATGAGTTCATATGCTGTTGAAAAAAGGAAAGAAAGTCTTGCTAGTATGTGTGATGAAAGGGCTAGGATGTTACAAGATCAATTTAATGTTAGTATGAATCATATTCAAGCTATGTCCATATTAATTTCCACTTTTCATCATGGCAAGTATCCATCTGCTATTGATCAGGTATAAATTCCAATGAATTCTATTTTTTTTTTTACTAAATTTTTGATGATCTTGTTTTTGGTTTTGTAGCTCCATGTTTTCCTAAATGATTATGTTATAAGTAGGAAATTAGGAATTATTGGTGTATTCATCATGTATGTGGGCAAATTATTGAGAATTTTTGCAGTGTATTATGATACCTGAAAATTGTATTTTTGATGGGGGGTTGAGGTTTAATTTTTACTCCTGAAATTGTACTTCTGCTGTCAGCAGAGCTAATGGCCTGTGGGTGTTGTGTCCGTTTGTCGGATTTAGCCTGAAATTGCTGGTATTAGGTCATTAGATACTAACTAAGGTGATCTTGGAAGGGAAAACTTTTCACTTGGGTAACCTGGATGAATAGATAGAATGAGTACACATTCTTGTATGATTTCAAAGTTAATCGATCAGTATATGATCTAAAAATTGGAGTATGCAGGTGATTGGGATAGTTTTTGCCTAAGAGTTTGTTATTGTGGTTGTAGAATAGCTCACTCTGCCCCAGAGCTTTTATACCTGTTTGTTGTTTGTTAATTTGTATATGGTCTTTGTTTCTTTAGGTTAAATCTGATAGTATGATGTTATGGTTTCATTGCTAGAATTAGACACTCAGTGCTTAACTAAGGTGAACATTGAACAGAAAACTTTTGCAAGATATACAGAAAGAACTGCTTTTGAACGACCTTTAACAAGTGGTGTGGCATATGCTGTGAAAGTGCTCCATTCTGAAAGAGAACAGTTTGAGAAGCAGCATGGCTGGACTATTAAGAGAATGGATACTGTTGAGCAAGAACCTGTTCATAAGGATGATTATGCCGTGGAAAAGCTGGAGCCTTCTCCAGTTCAAGACGAATATGCCCCTGTGATATTTGCACAAGATACCATTTCTCATGTTGTTTCTGTGGATGTGCTTTCGGGGAAGGTATGCTCTTATTTATTGTCTTTTCGTTTTGCTCATAATTATTTGATGTCCATGATACATGTATATCTTGAACAAATGTGGAGTGGCTGATGCTGGTCTTTTAAACCCAAAGGCTTCTAACTTTCTAAGCAACCAACTGTTTGCCTATCTGATCTCAGTTGTTTTGTATTTTGATAGGAGGATCGTGAAAATGTTTTGCGTGCTAGGGCATCTGGAAAGGGAGTTCTCACTGCCCCTTTCCCATTGCTCAAAACTGGCCGCCTTGGAGTTATTTTGACATTTGCAGTTTATAAAAGAGATCTTCCTTCCAATGCTACCCCAGATGAACGAATTCAAGCTGCTGATGGGTATGCCTACAACTAATAATCTCATACACTAAATGTAGCACCTTCTTTTCAATTTGTGATTTGAATTGATTTATTATCAGTTTTTTTCATGCATTGTACTACAAACATCAGATGACTATGCACAACCAGAAGTATGAAAGAAAATTATTCCATAGATGTCTCAAGCTGGAAAGATGATAAATGCTAATTTATTGATAAAATTGTGTGACAGTTAACCTAAGCTGGTGCAATTTATCATTATGATACGTTGGTACTTTTGTTGAGTGGAACAAGGAACTTTTCTGACATTACATAAAAAGATTGCTTTAAACAAGGTGAAAAAAAAAGAAGAGAATTTTGCTTTCTATTAGAATGGTTAGAAACTAATGAAGCATCAATACGAACACTGCTTAATATTTTGGTAAACTTAAGGTGTGGTTGTGTGATGCCTTCTTCCTCATAGTAATAGAATTGCATTCTTTATGGCGTGGGGGTTTACAACATGTTGAATTGAGTCATGGTTGCAATTGTGGCAGCGGCCAAGAAACAGATGAATTCACATTTGGTTGTAATTTCGCTTCACATCACGAAATGATCATACCAAAATTTTAACTTGGTCATTCTAAATTTCTAACCACCTTTTTTTTTTTGCATTTTCTTTTCAGAATTTTACTTCTAGTTGTAGTTATTTGTAAAGAAACTAAGAGGCTCTTGCTTCCATAAACAAGCGTAATGGCTACTAACTTACTATTGACAATGGCGGCTTTAACAACCCATGGTGGATGTTGCTGTGTCATTCTGGAAAACATACTATGTGCCAACCTGTCATGTAGCTGCAATGTGAAATTCCATGGTGTATTGTTCTATATTTCAATCAGTGCCAATGAACCAAGTAGACATGAAGTAATTGGGTAGAGTCCTAAGTTGCGAGAGAGTGAGATGTATCATGGATGATAACGTCCTATGTTTGTGGCAGGTATCTCGGAGGGGTCTTCGACATAGAGTCACTGGTGGAAAAGTTACTTCAGCAGCTTGCCAGCAAGCAGACAATCCTTGTGAATGTCTATGATATAACTAATCTCTCGCACCCAATCAGCATGTATGGTTCAGATGTATCTGGTGATGAGTTGGAGCACGTCAGCCCGCTAATATTTGGAGATCCTTTTAGACGGCATGAGATGCGCTGTAGGTGAGTATACATGGTTTCTATATTGTTGCTTGTAAAGGTGTGTGTGTGTGCATGCCACTGCAGTTTGCATTTTACACAAGGTGCAATCTCTAGGGATTCAAGTTTACCTTCGTGATTTGTGAGAGAATGTATTGAAACTTTTGCTATTTGGATAAGACTTCAACTCTAGATTTCATTGGTTTTTACATATTTGTGCAGATTTAAACAGAAACCGCCTTGGCCGTGGTTAGCCATTACGACTGCTGTTGGGATACTAGTTATTGCGTTGCTTGTTGGTCATATTTTTCATGCAACTCTGAATAGGATTGCCAAAGTGGAGGATGACTATCTTAAGATGACGGAGCTTAAAAAACGAGCTGAGACTGCTGATGTTGCAAAGTCACAGGTACACAGTTCTTTTTTGTGTAACTCGTATACAGAAATTCATAAACAATTTCTATTGTGTTTGGATCTGATCATGTTTTGATTGTCCTGCAGTTTCTTGCTACCGTTTCTCATGAGATCAGAACCCCTATGAATGGTGTTTTAGGTAATCGTTGTCACAAATGTTCTATGTTATCAACATATTATATGAGCATGTGAATGTACAATTTGAGTAACTCATTTCAAATTTCAGGAATGCTTCAAATGCTTATGGACACCGACTTGGATGTGACTCAGCAAGATTATGTAAGGACAGCTCAAGCTAGTGGAAAGGCTCTTGTTTCTCTTATCAATGAAGTTCTTGACCAGGCAAAGATTGAGTCTGGTAAACTTGAGCTAGAGGCGATTACGTTTGATCTGCGAGTAATTCTGGATGATGTGTTGTCCCTCTTTTCGGGGAAATCTCAAGAGAAAGGAATAGAGGTAACCGCTGTTGAGCCTTTCTACCCTTTATTTATCATGTTTGCAGTGCCCATGTGTTCCATTGAAATTTCTTTCGGGACTCAAATTTAACACTCTTCAACTTTGGTATTCTAGCTTGCAGTATATATCTCTGAGAAAGTACCAGATTTGGTTATTGGTGACCCCGGAAGGTTCCGTCAAATTATGACAAATCTAATGGGAAACTCAATTAAAGTAAGTAACAAGTTACATAACAAGTTTCCTTTTGTTAGTATAACATTCCTAAGAATGTTTGCATATTATTAATAGGCAAAGTATGGAAATTTGATTAATAATTAATACTACGCAAATAAATAAATAATAGCAAAGTTGAGTCAATTCCCTGTTAAATCAGACAAATCTCAGGAGTCTCCTTTAGAATTGTTCATTTAGCTAAAAAAAATAGCATAACTTTGATGTATGATTACTTAGCTTGAGTATTTCTTGATTGTGCAGTTCACAGAGAGAGGACACATTTTTGTGACTGTCCATCTCGTGGAAGAGGTGAGAGATTTTATAGAAGTGGAAACCGAGTTATCATTGAGGAACTCTTTGAGTGGCTTGCCTGTTGCAGATAGACGGAGAAGCTGGGCTGGATTCAGAGCTTTCTGTAAAGATATGCCTAGTTCATTATCATTGTCCTCCAACAGTCTTGTCAACCTAATTGTCTCAGTTGAAGATACTGGTTGTGGCATCCCTGATGAAGCGCAGTCTCGTATCTTCACTCCCTTCATGCAAGTAGGTCCTAGAAGTGGAGGCACCGGGATAGGACTGAGTATAAGTAAGTGCTTGGTTAGCTTGATGAACGGGGAAATTGGATTTGCTAGTGTGCCCAAACTTGGTTCTACCTTTACGTTCACTGCAGTTTTTAGCAATGCTAACTCGAGTTCAACCAAAAAACAACCGACGAAAAACAAAAATAGTTCAGCATCGGCTGAATTTCAAGGCATGACTGCATTAATTATAGATCCAAGACAAGTTCGAGTGAAGGTGGCTAGATATCATATGCTACGACTTGGTATCAATGTTGAAGCAGCTCCAGATTTGAACCAAGGTTCTGTTATTATCAGTGCCGGAAAGCCATGCATTGATATGGTGTTTATCGAGCTTGAAGTGTGGAACGAATACCTCAAAGACGACTCTTTATCGATCAATAAATTGAGAATTGTCAAGAATGGGACAAGGCTGCCTAAAATTTTTCTTCTAACGAATAGTATCAGCTCCGTAAGAGCTTCAAACTCTGGTACTAGTGATGCTGATACTCCTTGTATCATCATGAAGCCCTTGAGGGCTAGCATGGTTGCTGCATCATTGCAACGAGTAATGGGTGTTGGGAAGAAAGGTAATTCCCCTAATGGAGTGTTGCCGACATTGCCACTCCAGCATCTTCTTCGTGGGAGAAAAATTCTTGTAGTAGATGACAATGCTATTAACCTTAAAGTGGCTGCTGGTGCCTTGAAGAAATATGGAGCTGAGGTGGATTGTGTAGATAGTGGGAAAAAAGCCATCGAGAAGCTTTCTCCACCACATCATTTCGATGCCTGCTTCATGGACATCCAGATGCCAGAAATGGATGGGTATGTATCTTTCTACTGCAACTATGGATGTCTTTCTTTTTATGTTAATAAAAAATGAATGTCTTTCTTTTTGCCATTTTGTATTTGAAAAACCAAGCCATTGCTCTAAACTTCTAAAGTCATACTACCTTTTGTTCTAAGATATACTGTAATTTGTTTTACCTAGTTGATTTGATCCAATGTCATTCTAAAAATCTAAAATGCCGATGTTAACGATTCTTAAAATCTTAAAATCTAAAAACCTATACAATTTTAAAGGCCTCTTTACAAGATCGATGCAATTTTAAGTAAATAACATTACTACTTAACATGTGTGCATTTCGATAGAGCAATCTATGTTTTAAATAAGAAGAATATTAAGAAAGACAAATAATAAAAGTATGATAGCAACGCCTTCAAAGGACCTTATTCATCTTTCTAAAGGATGAGTTCATAGGTGCAATTTGAACTTGACTCTGTGCTATATAAATTTTCAGTTTTCGAATCTGAAATATTCAAGTAACTAGTACCATAATGTATCCAGAAAGCTGTTCTGTCGGATTTTCTTACTAGTGGTGTTTTATCTACTACATGCAACTGTTTGTCTGATGTCTTCGAGTCTGTCTTTTCTGAATTCCTTTATGCAGATTTGAAGCTACCAGGAAAATCCGTGAAAAAGAGCACCACATTAATGAGCGTATCCATCGTGGTGAAGAAACTGCTGGGTCCTATAAAAACATTTTAAACTGGCATGTGCCTATCTTGGCCATGACGGCAGATGTTTTTCAAGCAACGCATGAGAAAAGCCTTGAGTGTGGCATGGATGGATATGTCTCAAAACCATTTGAAGCAGAACAACTTTATCGTGAAGTGTCACGCTTTTTCAATAAGAGTTCGGAGCAATGAGTAAGCCTCTTACCTTCACAGGAAGTTCCTCAGATGGGCATAAGCAAAGCTTCTTGTCTGTTGGATGCTTTGGGCTTCATAAGTGGTCTTCTAATTTGCATATAAGTAAGTTTCCCGAAACACACCTAGAAACTTGTTTAGCATCCTTGTTCATTTTTAGTTTTGAGTTACTCTTGCCATTATCTGACCACTGAACTTTTATATTTCATGTTAACGGTCACCTAGAATAGTATACTATTTCTCATAAAAGGAATATCAGTATACTATTCCTAGCGAAGATTAAAACAGCATTCCAATGTTAATATTAACAACTTCTTAATCTCTGTGCATGACCTAATAGACACTTATTTGGGAATGGGACGAGTGTGTTCGAAAACTAACATCAAATTGTATTTAGCGGTTTTCAGTTTTTAATTTCTGATTCTTAAAATTCAGAAATCTTTAAAGTAGCAAATTTTGAATTATATCCATTCTGTAGGGTTGTGACTTGTGACAGTCTTCAGATGGTATGTGTATTCCGTCCATTATTGTATTAGTGTTTATTGCATTCACTAACATTTTCTTCTGTTGATAATTTGCAGAAAATGATTGATTTCAAAATGAGGGATGGGATACACACCATACTTGATCGGTGATGTTTGGTTGCTCTTAGAAGCTAAATTCCTGACTTATTTGTAAGATTCTTTCCGACAGGAGACAGACGTGTAGGATAAAATCCCCATGTAAGTGAAGAGCCTTTCCTGAGCCTTTTTTTTCAGAGTTCATAGCTCCTCACGATGGGCTTTGAAAGAATTTGCGTGACTCGAGTTTGGTGCCATAATCCTCATTTGGACAGTATTTGTTTGTATCATAGATTAGCGTTTGCACATCAACACAGCGTGTAAAGAATGCGCCATGTATAGATTACTCCAAAAATAAGACTTAGAAATCCTGTCATATATCATCACATTTCCTTCACTCACTAATTGTGATGGGAGGGATTATAGTATTATAATCACCATTTGAATGTAAATTATTGAACGTGTACGCTGAGTCGCTGAGTATAGTTTGTGAGTTGTATATAATCGACTTTCAGTCTTATAATGTGAGTATACTCTGGTGATTATCTTCTTCATGAGGTATCATCCGTATCAACGGTGTGCATGAACTAGAGGTTTGATTCTCAGCTCTTCGCTGTTAAAATGTACATAATCAAAGATACGAATTCTGAAGGGTTGAAGGATCAAGGTCTCGATGAAAACTGTTTTGAATGTTGAATGACAATGAGTCATGCGTGAATTGATGAACATATGTGCAGTTAAAGAAATTGCTGTGGAATATGTTGAGGTCTGTTGAAATTTGAAATCTTTAGGCTACAGTCTTAATCCCATCAATGGTTTCCTTTATTATTATTTATTTTTTATAAGGTCTTTTTAATCAAATTTAAATTCCTCAAAAAAAAAAAAAAAAAAAAAAGGCTCATCTCTAATCATCAAAACTAGTTGTTTATTAGTATTAATATGATACATAAATATTTTGCAACTCATTTAATACTTGTATAGTTGTATTGTATGTTAGTGAGATGACAGAGATATCATGGGTTGCCAAAGTTATTAATGCTCTATGGGTTTTCCTATAAGCTTTTTGTGCAATTTTATGGTCTGGGCATTCAAGGTTAATCAAAGCAAAGCCTATGCAAAATTGCAAAAAAAACCCATTTACGCGTGTTTTTTTTAAGGCTACACAAGAATGCCCACGATATTAGCTAAAATAACCTCCTTAACTTTTCTGTTTTGTTTTCGTCTTATTGAGTAGAGACTAGCCACGGAACTAGGGAGGGGCATTATATAGTCATTGTGGGCCTATAACAAGGATGGGCAATTGACCATATATAGATAATGGGTATACCAGAATTGCACATAAGGCCATGATCTTGAGAATGTATATCATGTGATGGTTTCAATTAGGGTTGGTTCAGATTCGAGCTTTAGGTGTATGTTAATTTCTATTGAGTCAAGGATGAATCATGTCAATATATTATCATATTAGAGCTGATCAACATAATAACTAGTAAAAAAACCGACCTGATGCAACTAAACTCAACCTAACTCGAAAGTGAATTGTTCCATGATTTTACTAGCATGGGTACAATAGTTTATTACTTCGTATGACTTAAACCCTAACTAGATTCCATTGAACCCGACCCAATAACCCAAATTGATACCTCTAAAATACTTTGTATTACAAGATGAGTTAAAAACATACCTCTATCTCTATCTTCTTCTTTTTAAATGTATGAGAAAAACTTCTGAATATTGTAACTACAATTACATCATTAAAATATTTGTTCGCCTATATGCCCTTATTGATATGATGTTGATTACATCTTAACTTTTCCTTGTGATTTAATGATTGAACTCTTATGAATAGTGTTTGGATAATTTTACCATTTAAATGTTTATTTACTTATTTGTTGGAACTCTAAAGAGTGCCAGATGTTTATACCCCTAAACATATTTGTTTACATATTTTTTCTTATTAGTGTTGTTAACAACTGAAAAGGCTTTCTAAACATGACTAGATATGGCACGCATACGCGTCAACCACTCTAGTTGTATTCAACCCATATACCCTTAGGGGCCGTTTAGTTAGGGGTATTCATCAAAGGGATTGAGAATCAACTACTCTCATTCCCTTTGTTGTTATTTGTTAGGCCATTTTTTCCATTCCCTTTACCCTTTCCATTCCCCCCAAATCCTTCCAAGTTGATTCCACACCCCTAGGTATTTCCATTCCCATTCCCTAGCCACCCGAACAACACTATACCACCATCCTACTACCAACCCAAACCAACGAAAAACCTAGCCACTGCACCGTCGCTCACCCCCACCCTTCGTCGCACCTCCCCTATCCCTCGACGCCGCTCCCCGCGCCCGTACAATGCTCCCCTCCCTCGAAAAAACTTCCCCCAGTCCCGCAAAACCCTAAAAACAATTCCCTCTCCCCGTAAAATCGTCGGCCGACTCTCCCACCCCGGGCGCGGGGAGCGGCGTCAAGGGACAGGGGAGGTGCGGCGAGTGATGGGGGGAGGTACAACAAGTGGTGGGGTGGCTGGAAAAGGTGGCAAGTGAAGCAATTAGGTGACAGTGTTTCCCTTGGTTTTAAAACAAACATTATAGAAAATTTTAGATAATTTTATTCTATTTTTTAAAGCTTAAAATATAATTTTGCCGAACAAGCCCTTAAAAAGAAACGGGTTGTTTATTTCGCCCCTCATCCGTGCCTGATTTGCCCCCTTTTTCCCAGTGGCGTAAATCTGAGGCTACCCACAGCAAATAAAAGCACCTTCACTCCCAAAACACACCCTTCGTGATCTTCATTTTGTCTGAGAGAAGAGAGAGAAAAACAACTCTACTACTCCAGAACCAAAATTAGGGCACAAAAATGGATCCAGATGCAGTAGCAAAGGCATTCGTTGAGCATTACTACTCCACATTCGATTCTAATCGTCCAGGATTAGCGAATTTGTACCAGGATTCATCCATGTTGACCTTCGAAGGCCAGAAGATTCAAGGTACTCAAGCCATTACTGCTAAGCTCACTGGCCTTCCTTTTCAGCAGTGTCAACACTCCATCTCTACCGTCGATTGTCAGCCTTCCGGTACCGGCGGCATGCTTGTTTTCGTCTCTGGTAACCTCCAACTCGCCGGCGAACAACACGTTCTCAAATTCAGTCAGGTTATTCTAATTCTTCCATTTTTTTTATCAATTTTGTTTATGATACTCTATTTTTGTTTGTTTGATTGTTGTTGATTGTGATTATTCGATTAATTAGGGTTTTCTGCATGTTTTCGTGATTTTTTTGGTTATATTTACTCATATAGTGATGGTTTGTGTTTTGTTATGTTTTGATCTGTGTTTGATGTTGATTTTCTGAGATTTTGCTGTTATTGTTACGGTAATTGGATTATGAATCGACTACGCTTTGAATATTAGGGTTTTTAGCTGTTCGAGACGTATTTGGAGGTTTTTAGAGCAATCTTAGGGTTATTGACCTTATTGTGTACCTGGAATCGATTGGTAGTGTATTGGATTGTGGTTGTATAGAGTATGTGCTGCACTGTTGGTGTAAATAGGTTCGTTAGGAGCAAGGTTGAAGATGAAGGACGAAGGAGAGGGCCGAGGCATTTGTTAGAATTGAAAATTTTAAATCAAACTAGTTTACTTCATTAACATTTTCCTTCTCATTTGGCTTGAATATAGTAAAGATTGTGTACCTGGAATCGATTGGTAGTGTTTTAGATTATGGATGTATAGAGCATATGCTGTACAATTGGTGTAAATAGGTTCATTAGGGGCAAGTTGAAGAGGAAGGACGAAGGAGAGGGCCCGAGGCGTATGTATGAATTGAACATTTTGAATCAACTTATTTACTTCAATGATGTTTTATTTTTCATTTGGCTTGAATAGAGTTTTAATGTTCTGTTGTATTTAGGACTGTCACCTGCAATTTTAAGGTTTAAGGTTTTTTGAACCTTCAAATTGGAACATTAATGGTGTGACTGTTTCTGCTTATCAAATGTGGAGGATACAATTGGCGTAATTAGGTGTACAGAATTAATGATTTAATTTTGTTGTCTATCTGCACAAATGACTAGGACGCTTTGATGGTCTTTTATCTATTTGGACAGCTATAATTTCAAGGAATTTTTGACAATTACCTCCTACAATTGTGTTATTTAGCAATTACCACCTATAGTGTTTTTTTTTTTATTTTTTATTTTTATTTTTTTTTATTTTTTTATTTTACCACCAATTATTTTTTAAATCATCAAAACTTCTCGCCTACTTGGCTCTCAACTCAAATGTGACGTCATGTGGAGCCCACTAATTACCTTCCCACCCATTTTCTTTCTTTCTCACTCGATTTTTCATTTCCCCTGTGTTGTACTTCTCTCAAAATTGGGGAAAAACTTCAATTCGTGAAATAATTAAACATGAAACGTAATTTAATTTGAAGTTTTCCCCCAATTTTGAGAGGATTACACCTATAGGAGAATGAGAAATTGAGAGAAAAGGAGGGAAATAGGGTGGGTGAGAAGCTAGTTAGTGGGCCTCACATGACATCACGTTTCATTGTCAAAATTTCCTAATTTCAATGTTGTTTACTATTTAAACTACGCGTCCTCTTCTGTTGCCGATCAGAGAATCTCATGAAGCAGTGGCTTCGTATTGTACTACTGCATGCCTTTTTACTTAACCAATTTCTAGAATTATCATTAAGGGTTTTTTTTATTTTGAAAAGGCTCTAAGATATTAAGCTTTCTTTGGCTTGGAATTTATATCTGATAAATGAAAATCCATCAATCAGAAACACCATTGAAATATTTCAATGTTTCTGTTTTATGAGTTGAAACTCCAATGTGTCCATGGTTGAATCTTAAACAGCTAATCAAATCTGTTTTCATAAAGGGCTTCTTTTCCTTCTGGAATCTCTGCAAATATGATTGCTGTCACCGAGAGAATCTTGTCTGCCGACTCTTTTTCTTTGGCTTCTGATTTTTTTCCTTAGTAGTGTTTTGAATTGTTGTTATATGGGTAACAAGGAGATTGTATAACCTTCACTTGAGATCATTGAAGCCCTGTTTGTTCTCACTATCATTCATGGTTATAACCGTCAGTTGAGGTCATTGAAATCCCGTTTGTTCTCATATCGTTCATGTTTTTTTCTTCTAGATGTTCCATTTGATGCCAACACCACAGGGAAGCTTTTACGTGCAGAATGACATATTCCGGTTGAACTATGCTTAGATACAGTGATAAGGCTCAGTTTGTCAACAAGGGTCGAAGAAATGTGTGGTCTTTGATTGTCCAAGATTGGTGATTACTATGTTGTAGTTCCATAACTCTTTGGAAACTGGAATTATTTTTGGCTGGTCATGTTTAATCATTGTCTGAATTTGCTTGTTACATTTGTCTTTAAAAATTTGGATTCTGGCATTTGTATGGGCAGTCTTTGGATGTTACGCTGAACAAACACCTCCATTCTTCAAAATTACATATACCAGAGCTATTTTTTAAATTGTTTTCCTTCAGTCTCTGTTTGTCTCTCTGATAACACATTCGTGTGCTTGTGCCCATACTTGTGCTTTGGCAGGAGCCAAGAGGGGTTGTTGGTATTCTGGTATTGTTTTGTGGATACGGTTGTAGCAGGATGAGCAATGTTGTTCATAATATTTAAATATAATCTGTGGAAGAAAGTGGTGTGTGTTGCGTACGCGCGCACTCTCTCTCTCACACACGCACGCACGCACAGAGAGAGAGAAAGAGAGAGAGTGCCCCATGGATCTAATGATAGAAAGTGTGTTGTTCTTTCCTTGTATTCATGTTCATAGAGTTGTGTATACAATGGCCCATTGGGATTGAACCCCCTTTAATGGAGAGGAACATGTAGTTTTGAACATTTTCCCTCAAGGTTTGCTTAATTTGGCACAACCCGATGATGCTAGCAAATAGAAGCACAGCACGGGGATTGTGCACTAGGACAAGACATGAAAACACTTTGTCCTTTATAAAAACACTTAATTTTGACAATTGAGGGTAGTGTTTTTGGCTTGCCTTCTAGGCTTGGAAAGCAAAAAATTATCTAAAATTAAAGGCTATCCAACTATTCGGATCATTTTGGAGGTTTCGAGACTTGATGTCAAAAAATTTCGAGATATTAGAGGATGCATTCTAAGAGGTTGTAATGTTGTTTGGAATAATATACGTCTAATATTTGGTCACATAAATAGGATGTCATATAAATTGTGTCAATCATCTAAATAGCTTCTTGAGGCGGTGTTGGGTTTGTGGGAAGCATTGACGCATTGTGACCTTTTTCTTTTTCGGGTTTGAAAAAATCGAAAAATGTTTTCAAATTTGAGATGAACCATGTTTCGGGCCAATGTTGGTAATTTTTCGAAATTAAAGTGAAAGTGTGAGGTTTCTCCTAAGGGTTAGGGTTATATAAGTTGGTTTGGAACAATAACATGCCTACCAATAGGTGTATAAAGTCTTGAGAATGAGTGTGGTTTAGATATGTGGGCATGTGACTTTTCGAAATAAATATGTTACCATTATTAGTGAGATCGAGTTGCCAGAGATGGTTCCAAATTTCCAATGATCAAATTTGGCATCTTGGAAAATTACTAATGTGTCGACAATCCTTCATCTAAATTTGTGCCGTTGATCATTCCTAAATTCATTACATAACATGATTATTTTATCCTACTCCTTTCTTTTCATAATAATCACAATATTTTTTTGACGAGCATAATAATCATAATAGTTTGACTAACACATGTGTTAATAAATTATTAACCATAAATATATCTATTTATATATTAGTACGAAGTATAAAAAGTTAATATTTTAGATATATAATGAAGATTAGTGCAAAAAAATTTTACTGCGTTTGTAACAACATTTGTTTTTCAAAATACTGGTAAACAATATAGCCAAAATGACTAGTATAAAAGTCAAACTATTGCAATTATTCTAAAATAGAGGTAGTAATATACTATATTGGTGGTGTGTTTGTTACTCAACACCAATCAATGTTCAATTTAATTTGATTGTTTGCAATTATTAATTCGTAACGAGATAAATAAAAATAAATTGAAGAGAAGTCTTTCTATCTAAATATGGAAAAGTATACATAATTTCATAATGAAATAGAATTTAATCTTAAAACCCCATTTTTTTTTTCCTGTCTGAGACTAGAATGAAGAATAATCATTATTGATATGGAAAATCATCGCACTTTATTAATACATAAATAAGGGTTAAGAAAAAGTACTCTACTCTATTAATTTTTAACTTGACTTGTTTCTTTTATCACCTTTGCTAATGTAAAACTTTAACGATCAACTTTGATTATTCTTAAGTGAAAATTATAAAAGTTATATATTATAATAGTACTTATTGTGACAAATTTAAAAAGACCCCACATGAATATATTTTTCCTTACATATTATTCCCAAACGACGGTCAAAAGAGAGGTGGTGAATAGTGTAGAAGTCAAATCGAGTCAAGTAAAAAAGAACAGAGAAACTATTATGTAAGGACCATATCTAATGTGCACAAACAATCCTTCCTTTCCTCAATCACCTTGTTCCGCGTCAAAGCAACCCTCAAACCTCAAAAAATGCTCAAAACTGGCACTCCCTATCAAAATATTAAGTGAACAATTGATCATCAAAATTTAAAAAGCATACAACAGTTTCTTTTGAGCAAACTAAGTTTGATGTTTTCGTAACTCAATTCACAGTGAAAAACTTTACACTTAATCAATGCGAACAAGTTAAAAAAAAAAAAGGAAATGCAAAACTGTCATTCACCGTCCCCATTTATCAATCCTGCAATATCCATGCTGGGAAGTTTAAGAGGGTTCTCAGACGTCTCTCTCCCATTTACCTTAGCAAGTACAGAACTTTCATTTGCTTCTTCCTCTTGAAATGCACGGCGTTTAACCATTCCGGTAAACATTTTTCCAAGAGATTTAAATGGATTAGAAAAGCCAGACTTTAGCTTTAGTAACAGGGAGACCTCAGAGACTTGCCAAGCAATAGTGAGAACAATAAGTGCTGAAAGTAACCAATGTGTAGTTCTGTTCTGTTTATTTAATTTTTTCAGTTCTTTAACTACATCTTCTGCTTCAACCGCTGTGTTTTTCTTAGACACCTCACTTTCATCACGGCTCTTTGTTTCTTCTTCACTGGCTCTACCTGAAGGTACCTCCTTTGGCTCAACCGATAGCTCATTTTGGTTGGTAATTTCATCTTCTTTCATAGTTTCCAACTGTTCATATAAAACAAATAATTAAAATTGCCTCTGAATTTTTTGACAGAAGTTATCATTATATGTAGTATGCAAAATCTTCCAAATACAAGAATGTAGACTGATGTGTTCACGAGAATCAGCAATATTTGCATATTACAATTACCCGAAGCCTCTTAAGTACTACTAGAGTTATTTGATAAACTTTCACAATAATGTACCACCACAGGACCACAGCAATCTAAAAGTACCATCATATAAGCATGTACGACCACAAGATTCTAGAAACACTAGCACACATTTACTGCACCGCCAAAAACATGGAATTGGACTGGTTCCGTTGATCCCAGAGATAAACTTGAAGTTTTTCACAATTATAGTAGCCGTACACATTTCTTACATTTAGGTAGTCTATCTAACTCTTACCATAAATGGATCATCCGATCCAGATTTTGCAAGCTTAACAGTTTATTGAGCATACGTAGTAAGACTATCATCTATCACTAGGTTCATGACAGACAAGAAGCATTGATCTATGGTTTTCCAAAAAAGAAGCCTCGACAATCTACATTGGACAATCTACATTGGACTATCCCACCCTCCTTCAAAGTCTCGAGCAAATCAGTATTCTATTCCATTATGTGTCTCATCGGCTATCCCAAATATTTGTCGTCCTGCTACATCACCAACTTACAAAAACAATGGACGGATGAAATGGATGCATCATAAGGAATGTGGTACATTAAAAACAAAATAGGGCAATATATAGGTTATATGATCTGAATTTCAATCAATTCTAAGCCATCATTTAGATATCCCAGCTTGGAAGCGCACTTACAGGCTTACAGCAGACAGATCATGCAAAAACAGTTAATTATATGCAGAGTTCAGTAGTCAGACTACCACATAAAACCTATCTTCAGCTGTATAACTGATGAATTCAGAGAATTTTCTTTCTAGTGCAAATACATAGTCATAGTTCTGCGGTCACACATCATCCAAATCACATCACAATCCTAGCTTTTGTAAAGAACTTCACTACTGTGTAGCAGCCAAGCGGCCGCTGCTGACTCAACTGTCCTTGACTAACACCAATCAACCAAAACATAGAAGCATAAGAACAAAAATGGAAAGTATTGCTAGGTAAAAAAAACAAATTAACACCTTGTTTTAACATTATCTATCGTTTGACTAAATTATACTCCTTTGTCCAAACTTAACAGTCTAGTCTCAGTCACACATAGGTTATTTATCACACTATCACAAAACAAATTACACGGTACTCCCTCCGTTCCTAAATTACATTTTTACTTCTGTCTATTATGTGAGGAATAAATGCTAGAAGTAGGAATGTAATTTAGGGACGTAGGGAGTACTTGAAATGGTATGTTTGATAATAATAAGAATAATTAAAATCTATTTTAGGAAATGTACAACTTTTTTGTAACATGTTACATGAGTATATGACAATTAATTCCGGACCAAGGGAGTATTATGTCACTAATGGATCTTCAAACGAGTAAAAACTATTTTACATACTCTGTACTTCATACTTCCTCCGTTTCTTATTAGTTAACACAAATCTATAGTCACATTTGCTAATGCATAAATTCAATTATTAATATCTTTAATTACCGATAAGCAAAAATTATATTTTGAAAATATACATTATATCTCACCCGGCTATATTTTTCCACATATAAATCACAAAACATGGTAAAAGATCAATGAATAGTGCTAAAGTTAAAACGTGTTAACTAATAAAAAACAGATGTAGTAGTTCATAGTCTCATACCATTCTCTTTCACACACATAATTCTAATCTAACTACACTTTATCAATCCAGATTTATAAAAAATAGCATATTATATCAGAAAACCTATAATTCATATAAATTACACTCCATAAATATAATACAATATTATAGCAAATTATATAAATATCAACAATAATCCGAATTGTTGGTACCTGAGAAAGCAGTTTTACGAGGAGCCGGCGTTCGCCATCACCGTCGTTTCCCATGGAAGTTTCTGTAGCTGATGATTGTTTGGATTCAATAAATTGGTGAATAGTTTTCTGAATTTCATCGATATTTTTGCTGCTAATTGCTGAACTTTCCATTTTTAGTAAGGATTGATTTATCAATTTTGAGGATATTGGATTTCTAAGTATTTTTTGTGACTAAAAATTGACAGATTTCTTACATTTCGGATGTAATTTGACTACTTCTTTCTTACCCAATTAGACAAGAGAACAAGACAATTCCATTTTTGGTATTTTATTTAGATTATTAATCATTACCAAGTTGAGATATACTCGCAACTGTTAGGTTGTACTTGTGTGTATTGCCTCAATGCCATGTGACTCATTTCGATTAGAAATACTTTAATTGCATACAAAAAGATAAGATTGAAAGGGTCTGTTCAGATTTAATGAACCGAACTGATTAGAGTTGAATCGAACTAAACAGAAATGAATTAATTGAAGTTGAAGTGAACTGAACTGAAATTAAGCTGAAGAGAATAGGCCGTTTGTCATACATGTTTAGATTATTAATAATTTAAACAATGTATTTAATAAATATATATTTATATGCGGTTGTTATTTTTAAATGAAGAGAGATGTTGTTATGAAATAAAGAAATGATATTAATTCATAAATGTAACAATATACAACGGATTTTTAAAAAGTCACAAAGGACAACTGATGAATACTTTATAGGTATTAGGTTGAATACCTTCCATACTTTAATCATCTAATTTAGTTAGATTTCACCCTGAGATTGAATTTAATAGATGTCAGATTTATTTATTTATTTATTTTTTAAAAAAGGCTTTCATGGCCACCTTTTTCTTTTCTTCAAATTTTTAAAGTTACTAGTTTCTAGTAGGGCTGTTAAAAGTTGACTCGACCTGAAATACCGACTCAAGCCCGATTATTAAACGACCTATCTGAACCCGAAAAAATGGTGACCCAAACCCGACCTGAAGCCAACCCTAGACCCGAGTTGACCCGAGTATGTGAGACCCGAACCCGAACATGAACTGACTTGGAGATGACCCGACCCGAATGTAACCCGTAAATTATTGACCTGAACTGAACCCGACTTGAACAACAATTGACACAAACTCGTTTTAACCCGTCAAAACCCAAATTTAACCCGACTTGTTACTAATCTGACCTGAATTAAACCTGACCCGTTCCTAACCCGACCCGAATTTAACCCAACCTGTTACAAATCCGACCCAAAATCAACCCGACTTGTTATTGACTTGACCCAAATTCAACCCGACTTGTTATTGACCCGACCCGAATTTTACCATACTTATTACTTACCCAACCCAAAAATTCAGCCCGATCTGTTACTAACCCGACTCAAAATTAACATGACTTGTTATTGACCTGACCTAAATTCAACCCAAATTGTTCCTAACCCGATTTCAAATCACCTTAAATGCAATTTAGACCACCTTATTATTGTTGATCAAAGCATTTTGTCTAAGGAGACCAAGTCGGTCTAGGCCAGCCAAAGAAAGGAGCATCATCCTCAAATTTAAGAGTTAAATATAGTATATATTTTATTGTATGGTCAAAGGAGATAATTATCTTCCTAAAGTATAAACTATAGTTCCCTAGTATATTGTTATATATATGGTCAAAGGAAATAATTAGCTTGATAAAAATGATAATTATCTATTTATAATTAGTTGAACCCGAATATGACCTGACTTGAAAATGACCCGACCTGGTTGTAACCTACATATTATTGACTTGAACATAACCCGAATTGACTCCGAGAATGACCCGACTTGGAAATGACCCAACCTGATTATAACCAGCAAACTATTGACTTGAACCGAACCCGACTTGAACCCAAGAATGACCCGACTTGAAAATGACCCGACCTGATTATAACCCTCAAATTATTGACTTGAACCGACCCCGACTCAAACCCGAGAATGACCCAAATTGATTCTAACCCGCAAATTATTGACTTGAACCGAACCCGACTCGAACTCGAGAACTTCCCTAACCCATTTTAACCCGTGAAATCCCGAATTAAACCCGACATATTATTCACCCGACCCGAATGTAACCCGACCTGTTATTAACCCGACCAAAACCCGATAAGAAATATGACCCAACGTGACCCGCTCAAGCATGACCCAACCCGACCCGCATAGGTTATGAAATTAATCCGAATTGACTCAACCCACTCTTATCGACCCAAACCCGACCCGTTTACCTGAATTATCAACTCTACCCAAAAACTCAAAAATTTCTCAAAAAGCGTGGATATTAGCCTTTAATTTTAGAATTTTTTCACTTTTTTTCGCCCAAAAATAAAAAATGCGGAAAGGTTTAGCATGGTTCCTAATACCCTCCGGTAGTCCAAATAGGTGGGTGGAACCATCTAATTTGCATTTAAACGGCCAATTTACCGGTTTACATCTTGCACTTATTTCATTAACTCGAGCCTACCATGAACATTTGAGACAACATATAACGGTCATTTATGGTTTTAAACGTCATTATATGACCTCGAAATGTATCTAGTAAAATCTCATTTCTTTTCGACACTTGGCCCCGAAACCTTCCAAATTTCTCAAGATATTAGCCTTCAATTTAGGAATTTTTGACTTTTTTTCGCCCAAAAATAAAATTTCCGAAATATTTGCCATGGTTCCTAATAACCTCTAAAGGTCCAATTGGGTGGGTGCAACCATCCAATTTGCCTTTAAACGACCAATTTATCGGTTTACAAATTGCATTGATTTCATTGACTCAAGCCCTACAACAAACATTTATGACAACAAATAATGATCACATATGGTTCTAAATGACATTATATGACCCAGATATGTATTCCCTAGAATTTCGAGACTTTTAGACACTAGGTCCCGAAAACTCCAAAATTTCTCAAAAAGCATTGATATTAGCTTTCACTTTTTGAATTTTTTGACTTTTTTTCGCATGTAAATAAAAATTGCCTAAATGTTTACCATGGCCCCTTATACCCTCCGGGATTCCAATTTTGTAGGTGGAACCATCCTATTTGTCTTTAAACGGCCTATTTACCAGTTTACAACTTGCACCGATTTCATTAATTCAAGCTTACCACGAACATTTATGACAACATATAATGATCATATATGGTTCCAAACGGCATTATATGACCCCGAGATTTAATCCTAAAATTTCAAAGCTTTTCGACACTCTGCCTCGAAATCACCAAAATTTCTCAACATGCATGGATCTAGACTTTAATTTTTGAATTTTTTGAATTTTTTTCGTCTGGAAATAAAAATTGCTGAAATGATTACCGTGGTCCGTAATACCCTTCGGGAGGCCAATTGGATGGGTGGAACCATCCAATTTGCTTTACAAAGGCAAATATACCGGTTTACAACTTGCACCGATTTCATTAACTCAAGCTTACCACGAACATTTATGACAGCATATAATGATCATATGTGGATCCAAACGGCATTATATGACCTCAAAATGTATCCCCTAAAATCTCAATGCTTTTCGACACCGGGCCTCGAAACATTCTAAATTTCATAAAAAGCGTGGATAATTAGCCTTCAATTTTGGAAATTTTTGAATTTTTTTTTTTGGGCTTGGATTTAAAAATTGCTGAAATATTTACCATGGTCCCAAATACCCTTCGGGAGTCCAATTGGGTGGGTGGAACCATCCAATTTGCCTTTAAACGACCAATTTACCGGTTTACAACTTACACCAATTTCATTAATTCAAGCCTACCACGAACATTTATGACAACAAATAATGATCATATATGGTTCCAAACAATATTATATGACCCCGAGATATATTCCCTAGAATTTCAAGACTTTTCGACACCGGGCCCCGAAGACCCCAACAATTCTCAAAAAGCGTGGATATTCGCCTTCAATTTTTGAATTTTTTTACTTTGTTTCGTCCGAAAAAAAATATTGCCGAAATGTTTACCATGGTCCATAATACCATCCGGAGTATAATTAGGTAGGTGGAACCATCCAATTTGCCTTTAAACGACCAATTTACCAATTTACAACTTGCACCGATTTCATTAATTCAAGCCTACCACAAACATTTATGACAACATATAATGATCATACTACCTCTGGTCCAAATTACTTGCAACTTTGGAATATTTTATATCTCACAAACAGTACCCCAAAGTTGTGAATAATTTGGACCGGAGGTAGTATATAGTTCCAAACAACATTATTTGACCCCGAGATATATTCCCCAGAATTTCAAGATTTTTTACACCGAGTCCCGAAACCTTTAAAATTTCGCAAAATGCGTGGATATTAGTCTTCAATTTTGGAATTTTTTGAACTTTTTCGCTCAGAAATAAAAATTGCCAAAATGTTTTCCACGATCCCTAATACCCTCCAGGAGTCCTATTGGCTGGGTGGAACCATCCAACTTTCCTTTAAACGGCCAATTTACCGGTTTACAATTTGCACCGATTTCATTAATTCAAGCATACCACAAACATTTATGACAACATATAATGATCATAGATAATTCCAAACGACATTATATGACCCCGAGATGCATGTATCCCCTAAAATCTCAATGATTTTCGATACCGGGCCTCGAAACCTCAAAATTTTCTCAAAAAGCGTGGATATTAAGCTTAAATTTTGGAATTTTTTAACTTTTTTTCGCATGCAAATAAAAATTGCCGAAATCTTTACCATGGTCCCTAATAACCTTTGGGGGTCCAATTGGGTGGGTGGAACCATCTAAATTCCCTTTAAATGACCAATTTACCGATTTACAACTTGCACCGATTTAATTAACTGAAGCCTACAACGAACATTTATGACAACAAATAATGATCACATATGGTTCCAAACTACATTATATGACCCCGAGATATATTCCCTAGAATTTCAAGACTTTTAGACACCGGGCTCCGAAAACTCCAAAACATATCAAAAAGCGTGGATATTAGCCTTCAATTTTTAGAATTTTTTGACTTTTTTTCGCCTGTATATAAAAATTGTCGAAATGTTTACCATGGTCCCTAACACCCTTCGGAAGTCCAATTGGGTGGGTGGAACCATCCAATTTGCCTTTAAACGGCCTATTTACCGGTTTACAACTTGCACCGATTTCATTAACTCAAGCTTACCACGAACATTCATGACAACATATAATGATCATATATGGTCCAAATGGAATTAAATGACCCCGAGAAATATTCACTATAATTTCAAGACTTTTTGAAAGCGGGCTCCGAGTCTTCCAAAATATCTCAAAAAACTTGGATTAACTCAAGCCTTCAATTTTGAAATTTTTGACCTTTTTTTTGCCCGAAAATAAAAATTTCCGAAATTTTTACCATGGTCCCTAATACTATTCGAAATTCCCATTGGGTGGGTGGAACCATCCAATTTGCCTTTAAACGACCAATTTACCGGTTTACAACTTGCAACGATTTCATCAACTTAAGCCTAACACGAACATTTATGACAACAAATAATGATCATATATGGTTCCAAATAGCATTATATGACCTCGAGATGTATCTCCTAAAATTTTAAGACTTTTCGACACTGGGCCCCGAAACCTCCAAAATTTCTTAAAAAGCGTGGATATTAGTCTTTGATTTTGGAATTTTTTGACTTTTTTTCGCCTGGAATAAAAATTGCCGAAATGTTTACCATGGTCCCTAATATCCTCCGGGAGTCCAATTGGGTTGGTGGAAACATTTGCCTTTAAACGACTAATTTAATTACCGATTTACAACTTGCACGGATTTCATTAACTCAAGCATATGACGAACATTTATGACAACATATAATGATCATATATGGTTCCAAACACCATTATATGACCCTAATATGTATCCCTAAAATATTAATATTTTTCTACACCGGGCCTCGAAACTTCCAAAATTTCTCAAAAAGCGTAGATATTAGCCTTGAATTTTGATATTTTATGATTTTTTTTCGCTCGGAAAAAAAAGTTGCCAAAATTTCTACCATGGTTTCTAATATCCTCTGGGAGTCCAATTGGGTGGGTGAAACCATCCAATTTGCCTTTAAACGACCAATTTACCGGTTTATAATTTGCACCGATTTCATTAATTCAAGCCTTCCACGAACATTTATGACTACAAATAATGATCATATATGGTTCCAAACGGCATTATATGACCCCAATATGTATCCCATAGAATTTCAAGATTTTCCGACAACAGGTCTCGAGACCTCCAAAATTTCTCAAAAAACGTTGATACTAGCCTTCAATTTTGGAATTTTTGAATTTTTTTTTCGCCCAAAAATAAAAATTATCGAAATGTTTACCATGATCCCTAATACCCTCAGGGAGTCTAATTAGGTGTATGGAACCATTCAATTTGCTTTTTAACGGCCAATTTATCGGTTTACAACTTGCACCAATTTACCGGTTTACAACGACAAATTTAATTAACTTGCACTGAGCCCGACTTGAACCAAAATTGACCAAAATCCGTTTTAACCGCCAAAACCCGAATTGTAACTAACCTGACTTGAATTTAACCCAACCTGTTACAAACCTGACCCGAAATCAACTTGACTTGTTATTAACCTGACCCAAATTCAAACCGACTTGTTATTGACCCGACTCGAATTTTACCAAACCTATTACTTACCCAACACAAAAATCCAACCCGATCTGTTACTAACCCGACTTGAAATTAACACGACTTGTTATTGACCCGACCTAAATTCAACCCTAATGGTTCCTGACCCGATTTCAAATCACCTTAAATGCAATTTAGAGCACCTTATTATTGTTGATCAAAGCATTTTGTATTAGGAGACCAAGTCGGTCCAGGCCAGCAAGAGAAAGGAGCATCATCCTCAAATTTAAGAGTTAAATATAGTATATATTTGTTGTATGTAGGGATGTCAATGGGGCGGGGCGGGACGGATGTTGGTATTCCCATCCCTATCCCCACCTAACATTTTCATCCCCATCCCCATCCCCGCGGCGAGTCTAAAATTCATCCCCATCCCCGCCCCGGCGGGTACAATTCCAAAACCATCCCTGCCCCACCCCCACTTGGATATCCACCCCCACCTAATCCCCGCCAAAGACCCGCCTAATCTCCACCCAAGACCCACCTAACCTCCACATTTCAAATACACAATCCTACATAATTAATATAGATTATTTTTTTTAAAAAAAAATCATCATTCTTAATATTACACATTTATTTTTTTTATATTATAAGTGTATTACGAAGTATTATAAATTTATAATTAATATTTTATATTTTACATAAATATTTATAAAATAGTACAAAAGTATAGAATTTTGTTTTAAAAGATATATAGATGTGGGTATAAGGTAGGGATGGGGCAGGTACGAAGTGGGACGGGTGGGGCGGGGCGGGGCGGGATGGGGCGGGTACAACCAAAATCCACCCTGCCCCATCACCCATGGAGGGTATGGTTTTCATCCCCATCACCGTCCCACCACCCGCCAAACCGAGACCCATCCCCGCCCCACTGCGGCGGGAATAGGACGGGTCTCCTACTTGACCGGCCCCACTGACATCCCTAGTTGTATGGTTAAAGGAGATAATTCTCTTTCTAAATTATAGACTATAGTTCCCTAGTATATTCCTTTATATATTATAGTCAAAGGAAATAATTAGCTTGATAAAATGATAACTATCTATTTATAGTTAGTTGAACACGAATATGACCTGACTTTGAAATGACCCGACCAGATTGTAACCTGCAAATTATTGACTTGAACATAACCCAAATTGAATCCGAGAATGACCTGACTTGGAAATGACCTAACCTGATTATAACCCGCAAATTATTGACTTGAACCGAACCCTAGAATGACCCGTCTTGAAAATGACCAGACCTGATTATAATATGCAAATTATTGACTTGAACCGAACCCGATTCAAACCCGAGAATGACCTGAATTGATTCTAACCCGCAAATTATTGACTTGAACCGAACCCGTCTCGAACCCCAGAATTACCCCAACCTGTTTTAACCCGTGAAAACCCGAATTAAACCTGACCTATTGTTCACTCGACCTAAATGTAACCCGCCCTGTTATTAACCCGACCCAAACTCGATAAGAAGTATGACCCGACGTGACCCGACTCAAGCATGACCCTACCCAAACCCGACCCCCATAGGTTATAGAACTAATCTGAATTTACCCAACTCGAGTTGACCCGACCCACTCTTACCTAACCTAAACTCGATCCGTTTACCCGAATCGACAACTCTAGTTTTTAGGATAGAACACATATGTTAAAGTTGAATTCTCTAAAGTTTTAAATTCAATATAATGTTTTAAAAAATGCTTTTTGCTAATCAATCGCGGCATCATTTTGCTTTCGTTAAAAAAAAATAAAAAAAATCATCGTGGCATAATTTTCATCAGTGAATGGGGATGATGTTTTTATTGCATGCTTGTGTTTGTTTTTTTATACTGTTTTGTCGATAATCAAATAATAAAAAGTTTATTCCCTTTCCTTGTCCGGACCAAAAGAGTGTGGACTTCTCCAGTTGCTTGCGGAATAGGAAACTTCCCAAAGAGGAATACAGGTTAAGTAAAAGAAAACGAAGGAAGTACTCGTATATAGGAATCTATTCCGTATTTGCTTAGCTAACTTTCTGATTTCTTGAACTTGGTTCGCCTGCCATTAGGTATGTGACGTGAGGATCATATTGCGTTCTCTTGCATTGGCCAACTCGTCCATCCAATTTATCATCACTCTATGCCTGCATCAAGGTCTTGGAAAAATTCGGCTTCCTGCCTTAGGATGAAGGCCTACCCTGCATTTCTGCTGCACATGAAAGCAGCAACTCTCCATTCACCCGGCTTTCTCGTACTAGGATCCTTCCATACTGGGGAGATGAAGCCACACGACTACACGAGTTTGCCAGAGGACCAAGTATGTGACGTGATTTCTGGAATGAGTTGCACTTCGACCCATTTTTGAGACGGAAGTGTACCTATATTTTATCTATTCTAAGCAAACAGCTTTTTTTTTTTAAGGAAAAGGCAAACAAATAAATTGAAGTGGCATTCGATTGTACAAGCTAGTAATGTCTTAAAACAGACTTTGTATTATACTGTGGTAAGATAATCAACATGATCAGATTCGACAAGGTATAGAGATGAACAGAGAGCTCTGGAGCACATGTTACAGCACTTTTTCAAACTGTCATGCAAACTCAGTTCACTAGCCAATGTCAGGTGAATGAGAATGCACTTGGTTAAATATTATTAGACCCACAATACCATATTATTTACAAACATTTACATCAACTTATGAATATCCCGACTTCCTGAACAGTAATAACCCATATACTAAAAATTGGTTGCTGTAAAATTTAGTATATATAATTGATATCTAGATGACTAGAAACAGCGCACAACACAACACAACACAATGGCTATCTATTCAATATATATACCTTGACGAGACCAAAGTAAACTAATAGCTTGAGTTAGACCAATCTTGTACCTACAAAGGTGAATCAACCAGAACTTTCAAGGAAGGTGAGGATATCATCATTGTCCATGCTTAAAACACCATCTTGGGAACCTGAAGCCCCTGAGCTTGTTAGGAGTTGGACCTCAGCCTGAAATAAAATGAATAGACATTCAGAGCCATATACAAGTTAAACCAGTGGACCTTCGGAAGTTCTTTTCAGACAGAGAGTCCTCGTAAAATATAGAAAACTGCAACTACAGAATAATAGGAAAATAATAATAAGGTAAACTACATTGAATATTGCTCCATCCATAATTCTGAACAGTTTCTGTGCAAGATACCAAAAAGAACAAGTTTTAAGCTCACTTAACACCTGCTTGAGCACCAAAAGTGTTTGCAGGACAGAAGCTTAGTGTGCAGACAAACAGCTAGTCAGACAGTGAGGTCACACCTAAGAACATAGTTGCTCAAAAGAAGTCAGAGAATCATGCATGTTAATTGGGGAATTTCAGAGTGAGGAAAATTGTGAACCATGAATGGTTCTCCACTTCTCCAGTAATAGTTTTAGTGGAGGGGTGATATAAGCCATATATCAAGCTAATCAACGGTTGAGATATGTTTTTAGTTTTCACGATAAGCCATAAGGCTTGTTTTCAGTACAACCTTCCCATATAAAGTATAACATTCAAAGTAACAAAAAAAGGCTTATATTGCATATAAAATATATTAAAAAAATAAATAATAATAATAATAATAATAAATAAATAAATAAATTCAAATTGAATAATTCAAAGTATAAATTAATGTAATCCAAATGAGCTGAAGCTCAAACTACACGTCCACATCTAAACTGCTCAACCTCAACCTAATAGCTATGATCAATTTTGAACAGCAAAATTCAGATCCAACAAACTGAGCTGAGACTCCCCCCCCCCCTCTACCCCTTCCACGTTTCAAATTTCACCTCCTTTCTAATCTTTTTTTTTTTTTTTTTTTTTTTTTTTTTGACAAATGCTTTCTAATCTATGTTATGCCTCACTAAACTTCATCAGATGCTCATTCTCTAATTGGTTATTTTACTAGTTTTTCCAGCCTAGCATTGGTTCCCCCATAGTACTTCAAAAAGGATCAATAGCTTATTATGAGATTTGGAATTTGGAAGTACAGGAACAATCACATAAAATTAAATCATCCGCAAGAACCTAGGCAAAAGTATAAGAAATGCCTTCATTTTGATGGTAGGCTACTAAGCTAACGAAGCAATGGATAAAAAAAAAAACTATTGGAAATGAGGCCATAATGACAGCAACTATATTTCACAGCTTATATATGTGAGAATCCATTGGACATCAATATGATATTCAGCAGTATTATTACCATGGCTTCTTGAGATCTTCCAAGCATGCGAAGATACTGTTGACGGGCTTCTGGAGATTCAACCATGGATAGCACTCTTGTGACAGCCTCATCAATAGCAACATTGACCTTTTCTTTCCGGAATACCTTAATAATGTCATCATCTTCTTCGTCTTCGTCAACACAATCTGACTCAGGTCTAAATCCTCGCAAGCCAACTCCTTTGCGGCGCCAACGCAGTATAACCTTGTCTAGAATACCAACTGCCCAACATATAACCTTGTACTTCTTTCGAACCTGATAACCTCTCACATGTGCCTGCCAATAGCAGAAAATAACAGGATATAATAATTCTGAAGGCAGACATTAGAATAAATTGTAAATGTAGTTCCAGCTCTAACCAAGTAAGATTGATGAAAATGGTGGAGAACTCATCTTGTGACTTTGAGGTCACAAGTTGAGCCTCACCATCTACTTGTATTTGAAACTGGGGTTTCCCTTACCTTCCCCCTACTCTCAAGTGTTGCCTATGAGAGGTATCTGTTCAGTCTGATCCTTTTTACCCCAAAAAAAGTTTCTCCCTTCCCTCTGACCCCAACCCAAATCAAAAGAAAATTATAAACATATTGGACGTGACATAGTTATCACATACTGAAAAAATCATAACAATATTGAATATATAGACTTATCTCCCAAGAAGGCAAAAGATATTGTCGGATAGTATGAAAGAGAAGATTTGAGAAAGAATGAGAGCAAGAATAGAGATGTGGAGAAATGGTGAAGGGACAGTTAAGGAAAGACGGTAATAGCAGCATAACACATTACTATTTCTACAGATATATATAGTAGGTTTTCCATATAGATGACAGTGTAGAAAGGAAGTGCTGAAATCTCATGTCATGAAGTGAAAGCAGATGTGTACCTGTATCTTCACAACTTTTTGGCGCAAAGTCAGAAAGTCTTTCCGGCCTTTCCAACCCCGATAGTTCTTCTGAATAGATAATGCAGCTTTTTGATGGTCATGCAAATTGTGAAATGCCAATTTTGAAAGACCTTGAATGTCATTTATAGTGAAACCATACTCATCTAGATCAGAAGCAACTTCCGAGCTAGGCCTATGTTGCCTTTTTTTGAAGGAATGGGCACGAAAAGCTGCTTGGATGCGTGCAGCAGCCTGAGCAGCATTCCTAACTGCTGCCAAGGTGTGTTTTAGTGAAAGTTGATCCTGATCAGTTGAGTTAATGTTGTCCTCTGAAAGGTTATTAATAGTTAATTCAGCCTCAACATCAGCAGAGCCTTTGGAGAGTTCACTTTCTTCCAGTTTGAGGGACGAGAGATGGCTAGTTAGCGCCAATTCTGATAAATAACCAGCAAGTCCCTTGTGCCCACTTGCCGCAGCAATGTATGCAGCATTTCTACCAGTTGGATCATGTGTACTTGGATCAGTCAATGCCACAGCCGATGCTCCCAAAGCAACAAGAGCAGCAACCATTTTTTCCCTGTCATAGAAACAAATTGTCTAATGTCATTGCACAATATTCGAAAGTAATAATCCAGCAGTAAGGGATTGTAAGCATAAATAATATAAAATAGAAGTGAAAAGCATCCAATCCTTGATTCTCATATAATGTTCCACAATAACATTACTCACAAGAGGCTCCTTTATGAGATTACTAGAGAAATAAATTCCAGATCGACGCATGGGAGCATGGCAACCTGGCCTTGAAAAATTAAAAGTGGCATACACATCTTGACCACCAGTGAGAATCTAACCTATTCTATAACCAAAAAGCAGAAAAAGATATGAAAGCTATCTGTAGATTTAAGGACATTATCTCAGACCCTACTCAAGCATATGGTGACAACATAACTTCTCCTTAAACCTACAGCATCATAAGAAAGGTTAGGAGAGAAGACTTGACTATTTCTTTTCATAACTTGAAAATCTTACCCAGGAGGGTTCACCAATTTGCATCAGTCATCTCACAAAATTAGTAAAGAAATGCATAATGGTATGAAGTTTTCAACAAGCACTTTAAAAGTAGCTTGGTCGAAGAAGCTTCTGACCTCATAAGAGTTTAAGTAGTCAAGCCTTTCAGCTTAGGATTCTGAGAATGATCCTTGTATTATTAAAGTACCAATTCCTAGTTCTCGTAAATAAAATAAAAAATAAAAAAGATACCATTTCCTAGTAGAAGCACAAATATTAACACATAAACCTGTGGCTAGAATTCTAATTGCCTGATCAAATTCTAAGTTACTGATACACTCCCCGAAAAAAAAAAAAAAAAAAAAAAAAAGAGGAAAAGACTTCGCTAATATTATTTTGGATTGAGGCATAAGAAGTTTACTTTCCATAATAAATGCTACCAAAATTTAGTACGATTGTATATGCATAAGTGCATAACCTATAAACATTCCCCTATCAACCCTCTTCCCCACCCCACACCTCCCCCCCCCCCACCCAAAAAAAATAAATAAATATATATATATATATATATATATATATATATATATATATATATATATATATATATATATATATATATATATATATACAGCCAACTACTATTTCCAGAAGTTAGCCACAAATGAAATATACATATTTTGTCAAATGTCACCCCTTACAGAGAAAAACTTAAATTATAATGGAAGTGTTTGATTACATATAAATTGCAATCAATCCTAAGTTCCGTAGTCAAATCCAGATCTTTAGAATAAACCACTTTTGACATTTTGAAAAGGGAGCATTTAAGAACACTGTTTATGAAAGTGTTACAGTGGGCCAAGAAAGTGAGATTTACCTTCCAAATCTAGCAGCCCAGTGTAGGGCAGTCCAACCATTGATATCACGAAAATTTATGCCAACTCCACATCCCAAAACTGGGTTCAAAGCCCACTCATATCCCAACCCAGCAATCATATGAATTACTCCTTGTTCCTTTCTTGACAAGAAACAGTCACCGCATTCCCTTCCTTCCATGGACCTGGAGGAAAGCCATTGCTGCAATTTGTCCTTCAGAAGTTGTTGCAACACCCAATCAAGGGTGTCACTTGAAGAAGCACCATCGACCAGGAGACCTTCGATGATTTGATTCCACATATCACCATCAATCTTTTGTTTATCAAATCCCAATTCATTGTTTTCTCCGTGTTGGGCAGATGGATTTGAGAGAATCATCTGCACCAATCGGACGAGTAACAACATCTCATCTGTACTTCTAGTTGTTTCTCCTTCATGTTTATTGCAATGTACACAAGTAGTAAGCTTATCACGGTACTCAAATCCTCTAATCTCACTGCAGGACTCTCGATTCCCAGAAGTGATGCAGAGGGTCACCTTTCCTGATGAATGTGGAGGAGCCTGGCAACTAAGGACACCATTCTGGACAATTTGTAGTGGAACTTCAACATCACCAAACATGCAAAGCCATTCAGATTCTGACGGATCACAGAGATAAGACCCAATAATAATGACCTGCATTAGAAAATAAAAACTGCATGATTGACAAATCAATCTGAGAATTAATGCAGCTATAATTAACAGAATCACTGCAAGCAAAGATATGAAATACTGTCATACACACCACTCCCTCACCTATTATAAAATAAGAGGGAAAACAGAGAAGATAAGGGGAACAAGAAATTAGAACGAAACATTCCAGAAACCAATACATTTCAGTTTTCCAGCTTCGTGCAGCACTATGATTATAAAGCATAAATAAGTGATATCCCCAAGTCAAATTGTCATTAGCATTGAAGAAGATATCATGACAGCCTCAAAAGTACCTTAGTAGAATCATCAGTAAATCCCCATTCTGGAGATATCTCTCGAATGGTAAATCTCTGCTCCTTTGCTAATGTCAAGCCTACATCAGAGTCAAGAGATAATCCGAGATTTGGATCAAGCAACATGGTGGATAACTTTGGGGTGGAGGAATATATTGAAGAGGAATAAGCTAGGATATCCGTATCCTTGGCAGCTTCAGTCCCTATTTCATCAGTTGTAAATAAAAAGTGACTGTTAAAGAGAAATACTTATTCACACTCTATACTATAATGAATTAAGATCCATGGGAGGGACCTATACAACTTCGAGAGTTAAAAGAAAATTTACATTTGTGAGCAATATATGCCTCATAATCTTGAGGTTGATGGCTTTCCTGCTCATTTGGCCTCGCAGAGGAAGATGATTCATTTCCCTGGCATGTGATTATTCCAGAAATGTGTAAATAAACAGACAATATAATCCATGTTTAAGCTGAAATCCTACAGCTTATTAGTGGCTTAGAAAGAAAATTAAAATAATAAAGACTGACTGCACATGATCACATACTGCAATAAAGTAACTTGTATTCTCTCCACTGCGCAGAGTATAAAAGTAACAAATTTAAACACCCCCCCTCCCTCTAAAGAATAAAAACAAGGAATTGTTCTAGACCTTATGTTATCTGCCCTAAATCACTTTCAATAATAAATAATTTAAAATGTGATGAGTTATGACCAAGGAATTTTCTATCCACTTGCCATAACATAGTTAATCCAATAGTTAAAAGAAAACAAATCATGGCCTATATGATAATAGTATTTTTATGAAACATGGTCAAGTCAACTGTTTTATAGCAATTCAAATTAGTATAAAGAACAACAAAACTGATGAAAAACCATTTCAACATGCCTGGATTGAGTAGTAGTAAGTAACCAACATCATTGTACTTTCCTGCATAACTACTTCTAGTCATACTGTAATTACAACCTGATGCAGTTGTTACTAAGGTTGCATCATGTCTACAGCTTTGAACAACTCAGGCCATGGCTCAGAAATCATCAATCACACTTCTCAAATCTAACCTAAGAAAGCTTTTTTTTTGAAAAAAAAAAGGTACCCAAAATATAATTTAAAGAGACATGTAAATGAAAAGACAACCATCTTATATACCTATGAACTTACATTTGCAATTACAATGTATGATTTCTCCCCTTCTGCCTTCGGATTAAGGGAATTCTTGGACGTATCAAAGACATCATTCCAGTATAAAGAATCATTACTTTCAATACTTTGTGCCATGCCAGGAGTAACATGGTGATGCACTTCATTGCCACCTAAAAATCAAATAAATTTCAGTGACTAATTTCTCTTGATTACTGCATCTACCAATCTAGTGAATAGAAGGTTGGACACAGCAAAATAATAATACAAATGTTCACCAATATCCGCAAAATAATAAGATTTGCATCATAAGCTCTTAGAATTAAACTTTACACCAAAAAGATTGAAATTTGGCCGAATAATTTTTTTACTAAACAACTCCCTCCATTATAATAGTTCCAAACTTTTCTCGTATAATCGTCGCAGATACCTCTATGATATTAACTTTTCTTACATAAAATGTATTGAAGGAAAATGTGTGTTGGGATGCATAACACCCCCCACCCCCCGCTGCCCCTCCTCTTAATGTTGCAATATTTAGGGAGCGGAGGAATTATATAATTATAAACATGATCATGTAAGATCTTCTTAGATTATTTTCAATATGTAGTTTCAAAATAGGAAATTTTCATAATTTTTTTTATTTTTCCCTAAATTGATCCAACTGTACATAATAAAGCCTACAATTTTACATTATTTTCAAATTTGCCCAAAGTAATTAAGGAATATGGACAAGGTGCTTCGCTTCCCATGGACTCCATGGTATCCTATGAGGCCACTAGAGTGGTAGGAACTATCTACTCTACCTTAACTTCGCCTATTACGGATACATCTCTTGTCAATTTGTCATTACCACAAGGCCATTACGGGCCTTTAAAGATAGATCAATGCCATCTCAGACATTTTTTTTGTAGCTCGGAGCAAAAACTAAAAAGGGTACCTTAAACGATTGAGTTGTATTTCATAAATAATATTTCCTAAATTTTATATTAAAACTTTACCAAAATTACAAATACATGATAGTCATTTGAGATTGGGTTAACTCGCCCTTTTTGCTAACTTGTTTTTTTTTAATGTTTTTCACAATCCGACTCATCTTTTCTCTTATATATATATATGTGTGTGTGTGTGTGCGTGTGTGTGTGTATATACACACATATACATATATATATATGTGTGTGTGTGTGTGTGTGTGTGTGTGTGTGTGTGTATGTGTGTGTGTGTGTGTGTGTGTGTGTATGTGTGTGTGTGTGTGTGTGTGTATATATATATATATATATATATATATATATATATAAGTAAGTTCAGTGAAGGATTTTAAGGGACATAGTTATAAATATTGGGAGGTGAGAAATGGAAAGTAAATAAGATGAGAGACTAAGAAAAAAATCTTGAACTACACTTAATTAATTTTTATGTTCTTACGGAAGCTTGAACGACATCTAAAAAAAAGAAGTATATCTTTTTTATTTTTGCTTTGCTTTTTTCAATAGTATATAAATTAGACTTTTTTTTTTTTGGATGTGGGGCCCCTCAAAGTGGGGGTCCTGAGTTAATGAGCACATGCTATGAGCCGACTGAGATAGATAGTGGCATAAAAGGTTCCAAATAACCTCCTATTATCCTGAGAGACACCTCCTGCATTATTGACTCCATGTGACCACAAGATGCTAGTTGAATGGTTGAAACCATCTACTCTCCTTCTTAACTACTTCTTCCGTTTCTTTTTAGTTGACACGTTTCTTCGGTCACATTTTCCAAAGCACAAATTCAACCATTAATATCTTTAATTACCGATAAGCAAAAATTATGCAAAGTTGATATTTTGAAAATATATGTGATGACGAATCTAACAAGACCCTACATGACTACATATAAAGCATAAAACACGGTCAAAGGGAAGTGTGTAAATAGTGCTAAATTCAAAACGTGACAGCTAAAAAAACGGAGGTAATATTAATTTAGCCTATTACGGAGACATCCCTTTCCAATAACTAAGGACATGAATTTTATGTATGTGACTGAATAGTGGGTATATATGTTTCCAAACAATCTTTTGTGAGCCCGAGAAACACCTTCTACATCCACTATTGTATGAATACAAATCATAAAATTAATCAGAATTTGTGTATAATATCCTTCAATTTAAGAGGATTTCAATTTCTCAAACGTCAAAATGATAGAGGACGAGATGCTTCCCATAGACCCACAAGAGACCAATTGAGTGGTTGGAACCATACATCTGTCTCTTAACTAACAACTTAGCATGTAACACATATGTCTCTCGTCATTGACTTTATTATATACGGACTTTTATTTAACATATTAGTGGACATGTATGGTTCCAAACAACTTCTTGATTCTTAAAGACCCCAAGACATACCTCCTACGCCCACTTTAGGTCTTTAGTTGCGAATAAATTTATGAAATTAATCCAAATTTGTGTAATATAGGCTACATTATTAAAAAGAGGAAAGGATAGAAGACAAGGTGTTTCTTATGAACTCCCTATACCCCGGTAGGCCACAAGAGTGGTTGGAACCATCTACCTCTAAACTATGGACACCTCCTACACCTACTTCAGTGGTTATTACAACCTTGAATTTTAGAGTATTATAGAATTTTCTTAGAAAGGGAAGGATGGAGTATTGCATCTTTCCTATGTACTCCATGGAAACCAAGGAGGCTACTTGAGTGGCTAGTACCATCAACTGGCACTTCACTATTAATTAAGACGGTTACAAACACGATTCCGATTCCCTTTCTTGACTTACCCAGAGCTTTTATATGACTAGATAGTAGACACATATTTCAAACAACCTCAAATGACCCACATACACCTTTTACATCCACTTTAATTTTGAAATCCTGATCCAAAATTGTGAATAGACTAGACTTTTACGTTTATTTTAGAACTTTTCAAAAAGGATAGAGGACGAGGTGCTATCCATAGACTTTAAGATACTTCACAAGGCCCTTATGGTTATAACCATCTACTCTTCCATTAAACAATATATTGAGCCAGTTTTTATAAGATTGAATAAAGGGAATATTGTTCCAAACAACCTTTTATGACTCCGAGAGTCACCTCCTACGTCCACTATAAATCATTAAACAGTTCGCAGAACGAACAATCTTTTATAACCTTGAGAGACACCTCCTACGTCCCCTTTAGTTTATATTATTTTTCCGAAATTGATTCAATGTTGTGTGTTATATAGTCTACAATTTTATACTCTCCTTGTTTTTTAATAAGAGGCATTTGGACTATCATGCTTGCTAATACAAATTCTAATATTTTTAATCATCATTCAGCAAAAATAATTTTTTTTTTTTTTTATATTTTAAAATTATAGATCAAGACAATTTTAACAATACCCTACACGACTATACTCTTCCTTGTATAGAAACCACAATTGATGGCCAAAGGGTATTAGGTAAATAGTGTCAAACTCATAATGTTGCACTTACAAAAAAGCATAAGAATTATTATTTTAAAATTTTCTTAGAAAGAATAAAGGACGAGATGTTTTCCATGGCCTCTATGGGACCCGGGAGGCCGCATGAGTGGTTTGAACAAGCTAATTTGCCTGTTAACTACTCCTTTTGATCCTTTTTGTTCTTCAACGTTTCTTGATTAGAAACATTCAAAAGTTCCACCCCTTTAGAGTTTTTCCATAAATGGTAAGTGCCATTCAAAAGTCAAACGGGAGCTTGTTAAAATAATCTAATTTTTATAATTTTTACAAATGCAAAATTAGAGATATACACCGTTAAAGTTATGCATTGGAAAACGTAAAAAAACAGAAATGTTGCAAGTAAAAAAAAGGAGGAATACTTCTATTTCAAAACAGAAATGATAGAGGACCAAGTGCCACCCAATGAGGCCACTTAAGCAGTTGAAACTATCTAATTTGTCACTTAATTATTAGCACAAGGCTATCCTGGACTTCTATAAGAAAAGAATAATGGACATATGGTACAAAAAACCTCCTGTGACCTTACAAATACCTCCTACATTTACTTTAGTTGTGAAAAAAATTCTGAAATTGATCTAAAACTGTGTATAATAACCTCAGTTTTACATTATTTTAAAACCTTTCAAAAATGGAAAGGATAGAGGACAAGGTGCTTCCCATGAACTCCGTGATACCCTGGGAGGCTACTAGAGTGGTTGAAATATAGTTATAGACACGTCTCCTGTCATTGGGCATATACGATTACAAACAAACTTTTATGATCCACCTTCTACACCCACTTCAGTTCTGTAAAAGTTTCCTGTATAGTGGGCATATATGATACCAAAGTACCACACATTTTTTGTGACCATGAGTGACACCTCCTATATCCACTATTGTTTCAGAAAAAATTCTGAGTGATCCAAAACATGTGTACTATATTCTTCTATTTCCATATATATTAGAATTACAAAGGACAGTGTCTACCAATGACTCCATGAGACTTGGGAGGCTACTTAAGTAGTTTGAACTATATAACATGTCTCTAAAATGTCAACTTAGCCTGTTACGATCACATTTTCCGTCATTGACTAAGGCCTTCTCGTGTTTATGTGACTAAAATGTGGGCAAACATATGATTCTAAACAAAATTCTGAAAGCAGAAAGCAGAAGGCAGAAAGGACAGATTGCGAAGATGCTACTCATGTAATTCATAAATCATGATATCCAAGAGGCCACTACAATGGTATAACCATCTACTCTTCCTCTAAACAATCAGTTTAGCCTCCTACAGACACGTCTCCTATCAGTAGCACAAGGCCATCAAGAGCATTTACATGATAGATTAGTGGGCATATATGGTTCAAAATGCAAGGCACTCGCACACACCACCCGTGATGTTGGTATATAAAAGAAGGCAGAAACAGAATCAGCAATTGAACAACAACAACAACCTGATTTGGCCAAGGCACAAGGAAGCAGAGGACCGTTGATGTGCAGCAGGGGGACAAGATGCTTTAGTCTTTTGTTTGTATTGAACTAAAGTAGTTAAATGCCAATAGTAGTAATGGTAGTAATTAAGGCTTGTTTGCCATTTATATGCATTGGTAGTATAAGAAGTAGTAGTCTAGCAAGTGAGAGATCATCCAGAAAATTGTAAGTGAAACTTTGAGAGTCATGGCCTAAAGCCATGGAACCCTTTTGCAAGCTTTGAG